ACCGCTCGCAAGAGGTGTGACGTCTCTGCATCCACCGTCGGAAGCGACCGCCTAGGAACACCAACCCTGCACCCCTAAACCCTAAACCCTAAGCCCTAAGCCCTAAGCCCTAAACCCTAAGCCCTAAGCCCTAAGCGCTACTGCCGGGTAACAGTCGTGACTGTCGCTTCTTGGCTTAGGGGTTTCGGGCTTAGGGTAAGTTCTGATTGTTAAACGAGGAGATGTAAGGGGGCTAAGTAGAATTTAATTTTCCCTAAGCCCCACACCCTAAACCCTCCCTTAAGCATCTACAATACCAAGCTAAGTCTCCCTACCCAAAATCCCTGAAACCCTGAAGCCCTGAAGCCCTGAAACCCTGAACCCTAAACCCTAAACCAGAAACCCTAAACCCTAAACCCTAAACCGCAAAAACCCAGGGATCGACTAATACCAAGTTGCAGGTTTCAGGGGTCCGAAAACCGTGATTTTCAGCCCGTAGGGCTTAGGGTTTAGGGTTTACGGTTCAGGGTTCACTGGAGTGGTGGCAGATTTTCGGTAAACGGTGCAGGGTTTAGGGCTTGGGTGAAAGCTCTAAGCTCCTCGGGTTTAGGGTTTAGGGTTTAGGGTTTAGGGTTTAGGGATAAGGGTTTAGGGTTTAGGGCCTCTTCGGCCTGGGGTGCTTTGCTTGACCAGCGACCGCATGTAGGGTTTAGGGTTTAGGATTTAGGGTTTAGGGTTTAGGGTCTGCATGGACAACCTGATAAACTCCTAAGCGCTGATCTCAACTGTGTCTGGCATGACAAAGAGGGCTAGGGTTCAGGGCTTAGAGCTTAGGATTTTCAGAGGATTCTGTCGTCCGCAAACAGGGGTACAGGGTTGAGTTTAGCGTTATGAGGGAACCTAACGCAAAAAACAAGAACCTAAACCCTAAACCCTGAATCCCAAACCCCAAACCCAAAACCCCTAAACCCACCCTAAACCCTAAAGCCTGAACCCCAAACCCTAAACCCTAAACCCCTAAACCACTTTTCTCGGCGTTCCCTGGATCTGCAACGGCAGTCGGGTCTTTGTGGCAGCTGTAGGGGGCATTCTCACGTGGCAACGTCTAACTTTCGGGTTTGGGGTTTTAGGGTTTCGGGGTGTTAGGGCTTTAGGGTTCTAGGGTTTTGGGGCTTCAGGGTTTTAGGGTTGGGTTTTCTGGTTTTAGGGTTTTAGGGTTTTAGGTTTTTGGGCTTGGGGTCTTAGGGGTTTGGGGTCTACGGGCTCAAGAACGCGCGTACGGCAAACCCTCCAAGACCCTCAACGCTCATCCCCAAACAAACGTGAATCACAAGTCCCAGACTTTGTGAAGGTTACAAACCTAAAACCCTGACTTCTCCAAATAACCAGTACCTATGGTTTGGAGCCACAAAAGCGTTCGAGTTAATGGTTTGCCATGGTGTTGAGATTCTGTAACTGGGCCGAGTGGCAAGATTCTGTAGGGTTCTGGCTGGCTATATGGGGGTTTCCGAAAATAGGGGGTAGCCTTTTGGGGTTCCTATAATTAGGATTACACTATTTTGGGCTATATTAAGGGCCCCCCCCCCCCCTATTGTTCAAAATCTCCATATAGAGTTTACGGCTTAGGGTCAACCCTAATGGGAGCACTAAACCTTTATCCCAAAGCCGACATACTCGTGCACTTCTCATCAGACCAACAATGCATCAGTTGCCCGTGATCGAGAATGCCAACAGCAAGGTTCATGGGTAGTTTCCGGGATGGCTGAGGGTTTAGAATTTAGGGGTTTGGGCAAAAGGGCTCAGGGTAGTGCAACTTAACTGTATCACAGACCCTATACTCTGACCCTAAACGCTAAACCCTAAACCCTAAACTCTAAACCCTAAACCCCAGCTACTCACAACTCCCAGACCCGAATTTACGCCTGACTGCTCATGGCCCTCAAGTCTGCAAAGGCCAAAACCGCCCCTCCCCCGCCCCCCCGCCCCTCCCCCCCCCCCCCCCCCCCCGCCCCTCCCACCCCCCCCCCCCCCCGCCCCTCCCCCCTCCTGCCTTCCGCCCCCCCACTCCCCCCCCCCCATGAATATAAAAAAAGATCCCTTTAAAGCCCTATTCGGATTTAGGTTTAGGGTTTAGGGTTTAGGGTTTAGGGTTTAGGGTTTCGGGTTAAGAACTGTATACTTTCAAGCCCAACTAGGGTTTAGGGTTTGAAGGTTTAGGCCATACCCGGATCAAGAACGACATAGTTGTGAAACGAGATTTGGCCGCCAAGGGCGACGCTGAGCAGCGCCAACAGGTAGGGTTAGGCGTATATTGAGGGGAACCTTTAGGGGTACAACCTTAGGGCGTTAGGGGTACAAGTCTTCATCCCTTGATACAACAAAACCACTGGCTCCTAAACCCTAAACCCTTCGGGTACTTACAAGGGCCCCAGTACGGGCCCTCGGTTAAACCCTAAACCCTAAAACCTAAACCCTAAACCCAAAACCCAAAACCCAAAACCCAAAACCCTAAACCTAACCCTAAACCCTAAATCCCTAAACCCTAACCCCTAAACCCTAAACCCCTAAACCCTAAACCCTTGTACATCCATGCCCTGTAGAACCCCAAGGCCCACAGATCGAAACCCTTGAACATCAGGGTTGAGGGCTTAGGGTTCAGGGACTAAGGTAAGCCTTAAACCCTAAACCCCTAAACCCCCAAACCCCCAAACCCCCAAACCCCTAAACCCCTAAACCCTAAACCCTAACCCCTAAACCCTAAACCCTAAACCTCGAAGGGGCAAACGTCTACAAAGTTTGTAATGCCTTAGGGCCTACATGGTCAGTGCTCTCAAGGGTCCCTTTTCGGGTAATTGACAGGGTCTAGGGTTGAGGGCATCTCGAAAGCAGGCTCAAGTTTTCTGTGGTCCTGCATGACAACTCGCCCATGGCCGCAGAGGGAATCTGCCTGCGACTACGCAGAGCTTCAAACACAATCAAGCGGGCCGGCGTTTCGAGCAGGGCGCGCAAAGTTGTTCGTACATCGCATGCTCGCCTACTACTGGCCCCGAAACCCGAACCCTAAACCCCGAACCCCTTGAACCAGTCTTACTGAGGGGCATAAGCCCCCCAACTCACAAGTTTATCCTTGCATGGGGTTAAGGGGTTGGGGTCATATCCTCGAGGCGAACCTATAGAACCCCAACGGCCTATCTGTAATTCAGAAGCCTCTAAGACAGGAAACAACAATTGAGTAACCATGTACTTGCTTTCGTCGTCTTAAGGGGTGTCGAATAAGCAGCTCTCCATATCTAGGCTAGCAACTAGACATAGGGTTTAGGGTTCAGGGATAAGCTGAGTATGAAATTTTAAGGTACTTTGATCAGCACCCTATATATATATATATATGTATATATGTATATATATATACACCCAACTCCAATGGTGCATGTACCTATATCGTATATACTTGGGCCGCAGAGGGATTCAAACACAGTAGCTCTAGGCCCAAGTACACACTACGTAGGGTCATGGAGCCTTATCCCAAACCCCAAACCCGAAACCCTAAACCCTCAACCCCAAACCCTAAACCCGTATGTAATTGCACAGTCTTTTGACTTTGCAATCCTGGGGTTGGGGAGAGTACCTGCAGAACCTCCAGACCCTTCTCATCTGCCAGTGATTAGAACGCAAGAGGAACCTGGGAATCAAAAGAAAATTATGAACAGGTTCCCTTATACCAAAAGAAGGGAAAATGAAACACATTTCCCCTGAGAACAAGATCATCCTCACCGACTGCAGCAATTTACCAAGCTTCTGTCCTCTGACCACCTGTAACAGTAGCCCTGAATGCATCCTGGGGGCCCCAAAACCCCAAACCCTGAACCCTAAACCCTAAACCCTAAACCCCTCCTCCGCAGCACATCCCGCACATCGAGTGACACTGCTACCAGATTCGTCGCATCTGGGCCACCCGGCGCAGCAAGAGCCCCAACTACGAAACCTTATAGGGTTCTTAAGGGAGGGTTTAGGGTTTAGGGTTTAGGGTTTAGGGTTTAGGGTTTAGGGTTTAGGGTTTAGGGTTTCGGGCTTAGGGTTTAGGATTTAGGGTTTAGGGGGTTCAAGGGGGAGGTACCTTGGGAACCTTAGGGAAGCTTAGGGAGCCTTAGGGAGTCTTTTGCCTCGGGACCCCAAACGCCTGTAAAAGCCCGCAATTAAAAGTGGTATTAAAACGGCGGTGCACGCGCCTTCTAATAACATTTTAATGAGGTTTTCGACCCTTGTCTTTTTCCTTTCGTTCGATATTTAAATGACTTGGCGCGTTTCCTTGCAAGTCAGCAACATGGAACAAAGGAAAGGAACCAGGACAAGATACCATGGGAAGGAGAGTTCACCCGTAGAAGCGATCCGTGAGCTGGCTTAATAGCGTCCAGCGGCAGTTTCTACCTCATGGTCCAGTTGTTGCGTTCTTGTGTTCACTGCGTTCATTCATTCGCAGGCTCATTCATTCTCTTATTCACACATTCACTAAACTTTCTCCCTTTCACGCAAAAAGCCTTATTAAATGTACTAAAAGGGCAATGAATAGCGCGCCTTTTAGTATATGTAATATGCGCTTTTACTTTCCCCCCTTTACTGCTGTAGGTAAAAGCCCCATTACAATATAAGTCTTTTAGAGAGCTTTTAACACAGCATGAAAGGGCCCTTGATCCATATATTATGGGCCCCGCAATACTACATTGTATTGGGGTTAAGAGTTTAAGGGTTTAAGGGTTTAAGGGTTAAGGGTTAAGGGTTTAGCCCTACTTATACAACGGGAATCCTACCATGTCTATATTGGGCTTGTTGTCGTGAAGCCCCACATCTAGACATATAGAGGGCCGACCGACGCCAAAGGCTGCATATCCCCATGATCCGAAAATCTAAACCCTAAACCCTACACCCGAAAGCCCTAAAACCCTAAACCCAATACCGAGGCCACGCTTGTGGCAGCTGGGGCGACTGAGATGGAAAGAGGCTGCTCAGTGAAGCAACACCACAGATCACATGCCTGCCGGTTTAGGGTTTAGGGTTTAGGGTTTAGGGTTTGGGGTTTGGGGTTGGGGGTTTGGGGTTTAGGTCTTGAGTGTCGTATATGAGGGCCTACGAAATTAGAACAGGACTTTTGGGTAGCTTAGCATATGAACATCACATAAAGGGAGGTTTGGGGCTAAAGAGCCTGTAGGGGTGATGTTGGTATGTTGGTAGCTTTGCAGGCTACTGTATCTGAACCCTATACTCTAATGCTCTTGACGGCACGCGCGAAGCACGCAGTACAGGTAATTCCCTGAACCCTGAACCCTCTCAATAAACTGGGATGACATCATGCTAAACCCTAAACCCTAAACCCTTAACCCTAAACCCTAAGTAATGCTTTAGATTCGCGGTATTAGATAGACACCAGTGGTTTAGGACGGTAGAGTCTCGACTGCAGAACCGCAGACCTGACCTTGGAGAGGTTCGGGTCGAAGTCCAGAGGGTTTAGGGTTTAGGGTTTAGGGTTTAGGGCTTAGGGCTTAGGGCTTAGGGCTTAGGGTTTAGGGTCGAGATAGCTCACCATACGCGATCAACCGCTGTGAAGCCTAGACGTACAGTATGAAGGAAATTTTGACGGGAACCTCACAGAAGGAACCCCCGGAAGGCAGTAGATACATAGTAGGAAACTAAGGACCCCAAACCCAATACCCTAAACCCTAAACCCTAAAACCCTGAACCCAACCCTCACCCCCACCACCCCAAAACAAAAGAAACAAGAAAACAAGGCCATGGAACCCTAAACCTTAAACCCTAAACCCTAAACCCTAAACCCTAAACCCTAAACCTCAAACCCTAAACCCCAAACCCTAAACCCTAAACCCTAAACTTTCTAGGGCCTCCATCCTCATCTTGCCGCTGCTGGGCCAGGTACTGGAGACAGGGTCAGGGTTTAGGGCTTTGGGTTTAGGGCTTAGGGTTTAGGGTTTACTTTTCAGGGTTCAGGGTTCAGGGTTTAGGGTTTAGGGTTTAGGGCTTTGGGTTTAGGGTTCAGGGTTTATGAAGCCCTAAACCCTAAACCCTAAACTCCATGAGGCCTAGGCGTCTAAGCCTGCATCCTCAGGGGCCTAGGCCGAGTGAAACCCTGAACCCTGAACCCTGAACCCTGAACCCTAAACCCTAAACCCTAAACCCTAAACCCTAAACCCTAAACCCTAAACCCTAAACCCTAAACCCTAAACCCCAGGACATGATCGCAGCATGATTAGGGGGTTTTACAGAGCCAGAGCCAGGGTTTGCCAGTCCTGCTCGTGCCATATTAGGAGAATATAAAGGGAAACCCCAAACCCCAAACCCCAAACCCTAAACCCTAAACCCTAAACCCTAAACCCTAAACCCTAAACCCTAAACCCTAAACCTTCAGGGGTACAACCTTAGGGCTGCGATTCTTCATCCCAGGAAGTCCTGCTCGTGCTTCTCGAGCAACCTCTTGGTTCGATCTCGCCTTGGCTGCGCGAAGGGAGGCATGTTTAGGCCCTAAACCCTAAACCCTAAACCCTAAACCCTAAACCCTAAACCCTAAACCCTAAACCCTAAACCCTAAACCCTAAACCCTAAACCCTAAACCCTAAACCCTAAACCCTAAACGCTAACCCTATGCAGGTTTAGTACTCTTTGGCCCATGTGGTGGTGTCAGGGGCCAGGCTGTTCGAACCTATCGTCCCCCTGAAGGGGGCTAACTGTCTTCAAATTACCCCCTACTTGGAGGTTCATGGGTACTTATAACCCCACTTATAGGTCTACTTATGACCTAGCTTATAAGTACAGTGATAATTGGGGTTATAAGTGCCCATGAACCTCCATGTAGAAGGCTCGCAGGCTTAGGGCTTTCAGGGTTTAGCTTTTCGGTGTGCAGGGTTTGGGGGGGGGGGGGGGGGGGGGGGGGGGGGGGGGAGTTGGGCAAGGAGTTCAGGGAGCTCCTCAGGGGCAATGCTTAAGACCTAGAACCCCAAGCCCTAAGCCCTAGACCTCAAATCTCAAGCCTTGAACGACATGCGAAGAAAGCTCGTTGCCGTAAACCCTAAACCCAAAACCCAAAACCCTAAACCCTCAAACTTCCATCTGCAACCCTAAACCACTTGGGAAGAGAGAGTTCATTGCTAGCTTTATCTTGACTTTCTTGCGAGATTTGAGGTTCGAGGGCTTCATGTTCGGGGGGGCGGGGGGAGGTTTCGGGTTTGATTGGTTTAGGGTTTAGGATGTAGGGATTAGGGTTTAGGGATTCGGGTTTAGGGTTTAGGGCTTCGGGTTTAAAACTTCAACAAAACGCTAAAAACCCTGAACTCCTTTCCTCAACCGAGAACCCGAAAGCCCTAAGACCTAAACCCAAAACCCTAAGCCCTAGACTCTAAACCCCTCTGTCCCCTAAACAAACCCTAAACCCCTAAAGCCCTAAACCCCCTAAACCCCAAACCCCCTAACCCTAAACCCTAAACCCTAGACCCTAAACCCTAAACCCCCTACAACCCTAAACTTGGGCCGAGCGGCTTGCCCTTACACATGCGAAACTTGTGAGAGAGGTGACAAAATGGGCATTCGCGTCCACGCTCGCAGCCTGGATTTGGTTTAGGGTTTAGGGTTTAGGATTAGGGTTCAGGGTTTAGGGTATAAGGATTTAGGGCTTTTAGGGTTAGGGGGTTTAGGGTTGAGGGGTTTAGGGGTTAGGGGGTTTAGGGGGTTTAGGGCGTTTAGGGGGTTTAGGGGGTTTAGGGGGTCAGAGGTTTATGCGTTGAGGCCAGCCTCGTCTTCTGAGGAGCTACTCACCTACTTGAATGAATCGAACCCACAGCCGAGGTACATACAACCCTAAACCATAGCCCTAAATCCTAAACCCCAAACACCAAACCCTAAACCCTAAACCTTACGCCCTAAACCCTAAACCCTAAACCCAAGACCCTCAACCCACAAAACTCGGGGTTTCTAGCTCCTTTTACGTCCCTGCAGAACCTAAGCACTAAGCCCGAAGCCCAGAACTGAGCCTAGATGATCGAGTGTCAGGAGGGTCTACGTTTGGAGCCCTAAAACCTCAAACCTAAACCCCCAACCCTAACCAGCTTGCGCAGGAGTTTCCCGGGCTTAGCCTTGTAAGAGAAATCCAGTGAACCCTCAACCGTAATCCCAGGCGATATGCACTCCTGGCCTCGAGATCAGGACGGTTTACAGGTTCACGGGTAGTTTCCTAACCCTAAACCCTAAACCCTAAACCCTAAACCCTAAAACGTTCAGGGTTACTAGGGTTTAGGGTTTGGGCTTTGCAGGGTTTCGGGTTCAAGGGGTAGGCCAGATTCGGTTTCTGCTACCTGGGGAGGGCCGTAGTTAGAGTATCCCTTATTGCATTCTGCAAGCTTCGGGCTTCGGGCTTAGGGCTTAGGGCTTAGGGTTTAGGGTTCGGGCTTAGGGCTTGGGGCTTGGGGCTTGGGGCTTGGGGCCTGGGGCTTGGGGTTTGGAGCTTAGGGGGCGAGGGTTGGTCTTACTTTTCTACGACAGGACCTTAAAGTACTGAACCTCACACCGCAAACCGCGCCAACCCCCAAGCACTGAACCTCAAGCCTTTCCCTATACCTAACCCCTGAACCCTGAACCCTAAACCCTTACATGGTTCAGGAGATGCGTTTAGGGTTTAGGGTTTGGGGTTTGGGGTTTGGGGTTTAGGGCATACGGAGCCTCCAGCCCTGAACCCAAAAACCCGAATCCCGACTGCTGGCCAGGCGTCCATATGGCGTGCTCAAGAAAATGCAGGGCTTGCACTTTGCCTGGTTTGCCAGCATTTGCTTGAGAACCCCCCCCTCCAAAAAAAACAAAAAAGCATGAGAAAGATAATCATCCCTATTGTGCCCTTGTAAGGAAGAATGTTTATACTGTTTTGAGGGTTCTTCAGCAACCTCCCGGCCACCACCTTACCCCCCCCCCCCCCCCTCCCGCGGGCTTAGGGCTGTTTGGGGCTTAGGGCTGTTTGGGGCTTAGGGCTTAGGGCTTAGGGCTTAGGGCTTAGGGCTTAGGGTTTGTGCTTCGTGTTTAGCTCAGTTGCTGGAAGATGCTGGGTAATCATAGGGCTTAGTCTTCGGGGCCTTGCCAGAATTTTCAATCCTCTTTCCACCTCGAGACACAAAGCCCTCGGGCCCTTTAATAAAAAGCTTGTGAAAGTCTTGTTGAATGATATTTCATAATTCCTGCTTGGGCAATGAAAAAAATGTCTGCTCCCTTGCTGGAATCCCTAACCATATTTCCGACTATATTAACGGCCTTGGCAAAACAGAACTGGTAAATAAGCCTTACCTGTATGGTAGGCACAAAGGGCCGACGGCTCATTTTTGGGTAGTTCTCTACATTCGGATCCCTTTTCAGGGTCTTGCTGTACAGTGCTGTGCTGTAAATAGGATCCAAAGAAGGGACCCCAATTACCCTAATTCCCCAAATTACTCGAATTTCTCTATTTGCCCCAGTTACCCTGAACCCTAAACCTCACACCCTCATTACCCTAAACCCTAACAAACCCTAGCCACATCCAGCAGGAATATTTCCTAAACCCTAACCCCTAACCCCTAACCCCTAAACCCTAAACCCTAAACTCAAGATGCCGGGGCTGATTGATGCGCCTCAGGGCCCCTTGAGGATGTCCTGTCATACCGCAACCCTACGGCCTAAACCCCAAAGCCTACGGGTTTAGGGTTTAGGGTTTTAGGGTTTAGGGTTTAGGGTTTAGGGTTTAGGGTTTAGGGTTTAGGGTTTAGGGTTTCCCTGAACAAAAAACACCCTAAACCCCCAAAACCCAAATCCCTCTTTCCAGCTTCTAGGTCCCTGGCATCTGGAAGGACGTGGGCGATGGACCCCACGGATGTGAGATGGCCTAGCAGCACGCGGTCGGGTTTAGGGTTTAGGGTTTAGGGTTTAGGGTTTAGGGTTTAGGGTTTAGGGTTTAGGAGTCAGGGAATTAGGTGCCCTGTACCAAGTATATCAAGGTACCTGACCACCCTAAAGCCCTAAAACCCCAAACCAAAAACCCCTAAAGCCCTAAAAACCCCTAAGCCCTCAAGCCCTAAAACTCTAAAACCACCTAAATTTGAAATATGAGGTTTAAACATTACAAGAGAATAACCATGCTTTGGTGGTATACAATCATATCCCCTTTGATTTGGTATAACAAAAACCCTAACCCCCTAGGAAGAGCGAGTACGCCAGCCGCCCCAGCCTTTCTCGTTCAGGGGGATCCTCGGCAGCCAATAGTCCATGTCCTCACGCTTGCGCCGTCGCAACACTCACGCTTCAGGGGAGAAAAAGCCCGAGAAGCACTGGAGTTGAGGGTTTAGGGTTTAGGGTTTAGGGTTTAGGGTTTAGGGTTTAGGAGGGTTTAGGGACCCAAGCCCAAACCTTGCATCATGGGGAGCAATGCCAGCAGGGGGCGGGGCGGGGAGGGGAGGTTTTGTGGGGGGGGGGGGGGGGGAGTGGGGTGGCGTGGGGGACAGACACAAGGGCACCGGCATTTTGCCGGGATACTTGCGACATGGGCTGCACAAGACATGGTCTGGAGGCCTGCTTCGGGGATCATCAGTCGTCGGAAAGGCTTTGCAAGGGAGTGTGACGGCCGCAACTTTCTGCATTCTCGAGATCATATCTAGCAGAAATTCTACTCAAACTATTGTCATCATCATGATTATGATCATCATCTTGGCTGCACTTAGCAGGGTAGCTATACAATAACCTTTAGCTGCCTTAATAAGAAACCCAATAAGCCCAAAAAAGGTAAGGATCTAAAGTTACGAAGTCATGATCATGCTCCTAAACCCTAAACCCCAACCGCCCAACAGCCAGAATAAACCCTAAACCCTACACCCTAAACCCTAAACCCCAACCGCCCAACAGCCAGCGTCCTGGTGGCGGATATCCTTGTCTCGACGACTGGCGATCCTGAGCTCTTCTAAGCTTGTCAAGGGTTTAGGGGGAGCTTAGGGTTTAGGGTTTAGGGTTTAGGGTTTTAGAGTTTGGAGTTTAGGGGCTGGGTTTTTGAAGAGTTTCTAGCGCGGTCGCCTTCAAAAGCCACAGGCGCACCTTGCGGATTTAAGACTTTTCTTCTAGTACTTAGAGGCTTAGTAAGTAGGGATATGAAGTAGGGTTTATATTTCTTGTACCCCCAAAAGGCCACCAAGTATATACGCTCACAAATTTTTCAAAAGGAGCCTTATATACACTCACCAAAAACAGAAATATATACCCTACTTCATATAAGTACCTTATTTGGGGGTAAGAAGTAACTATAAGTATAGCTACCTTACTTATAATCCCAATTACTAAGTCGCCTGATCCGTTAAGTAGGGCTCAGTGGCTCAGGGTTTTGGGGGTTCGGGTGTAGGGTTTTAGCTCTAGTGTACCTCAATTGAGCATCCCAAAAAGGGTTCCCTTGCTATTCTAGGAACTCGTCTTCGAGGTGTGGTGTTTGAGGCTCCAGGCTCGACCCTGAATCCCAAACCAATACCTAAATCCCATCGGGGTAGGGCTACCCCAACCCATAAACTGCTTACCCTACGAGTACAACCATCAAAGGGCCATGACGGAGTCCTTTGTTTGAGGGCTCGGGATAGGCCTAAACCCTAAGCCCTAAACCCCACAAGGCCCTCCTTCCCAAAAAACAACCCGACATCCAAAGGGTCACGAGGCCCCCTCAAAACCCTGAACCGTATCAGAGTTTAGGGTTTAGGGTTAAGGAAGGCCCTGGTCGGGTGCCTTGCTGGAAGGGGATCCTCCCCTTTTAGAGGTGTAGATCAGAAGCCCTTGATGCTTGAAAAACCCTAAACCCTAAACCCTAAACCCTAAACCCTACTAAACCCTAAGCAACCCTCCATTTCAAGCATTCGGAGTTGGAGCTCTTATACTGGGTTTTGGGTTTAGGGCCCAAGGTTGAGTAAGGTTTAGCTTCGGGTTTAGGGCTTAGGGCTTAGGGCTTAGGGCTTAGGGCTTAGGGCTTAGGGTTTAGGGCTTAGGGCTTAGGGGTTGTTAAGGCTTAGGGTTTAGGGTTAGACAGTTAGACCCTGAACCCCAAACACGAAACGCTACGGGGGAACCAAACTCCCAGAAAGGAAGGGAAAGGGAAGCGCGGGCGGTTTAGGTAGGGAATTTAGGGTTTAGGGTTTAGGGTTTAGGGGAGTAAAGGTAATAGAAGTCTAGGGTTTTTCGGTGCTTAGGGCTTGGTAACCAGGGTACCCAAGCATGAGTGCCGGCAAGTTGCAAGAAATCGCCTCAGCTGCCAGTAGGTTGCACGACGCCCCACGCCCAAGCCCTGAAGCCTATAGCCCTGAGACGCAGACCCTAAACCCGTAAATCGGTCTAAGCCCTACACCCTAAACCCTAAACCCTAAACCCTAACCCCTAAGCCCTAAACCCTAAGCCCCAAGCCCTAAGCCCTAAGCCCTAAACCCTAAACCTGAAACCCTAAACCCAACTCGAACCGGTGGCAAGCGTAATGTTCCGCCGGCCGAGAAGTCCCCGATTCAAGAGGCGAGACTCGAGGGTCCATCAGCGGTGCATTGACTTAAGGAGGGGATTCATAGGAGGGAGCTTACCGGATTTAGGGTTTAGGGTTTAGGTTGTAGGGTTTAGGGTTAACCCACTTAGGGTTTGAGGTTTAGGGTTTAAGGAAGCCCGGTGGCGTCGAGTCGGGGCTTTCGTTTGGGCAACTTAGGCATACAGGAACTACGTCGTGAGCTTGTCTCTACCATAAGTGGGGAATCGGTGAAAACAATAAGGGGGTGGAGGAATTGTACCCATTTCTAAAAACTTTAAAGGCTGGCCTAACGTTCGGAAACCTAAGCCCAAAACCCCGTATTGCTTACCACTTTGCCTTACTTTTCCCATCTACTACCAGGATATAATTGCGATTTGGCCGCCGTAAAACCCTAAACCCTAAACCCTCAACCCCAAACCCTAAACCCTAAACCCCAAACCCTAAACCCCAAACCCCAAATCCCTAGCCCTAAACCCCAAACCCCAAAGCCCAGCATCCGCGGATGCCTGGCCTAGAGCGACATCACGTCTTCTTTCTGGACATAGGCGTCACCAGACTCCGGAACTGCCAGCCATCTCACCCCCGAGGGCCCGCATGGATTTGCTTGGGCCGAGAGCAGGAGAAGGCGCTCAACCCTAAACCCTAAACTCCAAACCCTAAACCCTAAACCCTAAACCCCAAACCCCAAACCCTAAACTCCAAACCGTATCGTCCTCGTCCCAAGCCATGGCTGCAAGCCGTGCCCTTGCGGCACCCTTTGGCTGCTCGACGCGGCCACCCTCGACCCCCGGTTTAGGGTTTAGGGTTTAGGGTTTGGGGTTTAGGGTTTAGGGTATGGGGTTTAGGGTTTAGGGTTTAGGGTTTAGGGTTTAGGGTCTGTCCACCCGAAGCATGCAAGCTGAAGGGACTCCGCGATCTGCGACCATGGGCCCTTACGCAAACAGCCACCTGAAACTTCTGGTTGAAAGCCCTAAGGGCTTATATAGGGTTTAGGGTTTAGGGTTTAGGGTTTAGGGTTTAGGGTTTAGGGCATCACACTAATGAATTCCATAGAAGGCTAGTGCAACTCGTACCCTAAGCCCCAACGTCGGGCTGCGTGCCAACAGACTGCTCCAAAAGGCCCAGGAATGCCCAGCCCTACTCTCAAAAAGCTTTAGGGCTTAGGGCTTAGGGCTTAGGGTTTAGGGTTTAGGGTTTAGGGTTTAGGGATTAGGGCTTAGGGTTTAGGGTTTAGATCCACAAAAAGTCGACTCCCTTACAATGAGGACCCCCAATAATGGCACCCCCAACTTCGGAAGCCCACACAGTCCCTTGCCCTTCATGGCTTGGCTGCACCTGGGAGGCTACAAACAAAATGTTCAGCCGCCTTAAAACTAAGAAACCCAACAAGCCCAAAAAGGCTAAGGATCTAAAGTTACCTAGGAGGGTAGCTATAAATTAAATTTTCAGCACCCTTACTAAGAAACCCAATAAGCCCAAAAAGGCTAAGGATCTAAAGTTACAGTGAAGCACCACAAAGATCGCGTCCGTGCGGCTGTAGGTGAGCTGAGGTTGGGGGCCGTCCGCGGTGTAGTCACCTGCCGGGTCCGAGAGATTGCTGCCAAGAGGTTCATGGTAACTGTGCGCCCCCAAACCTCTGGTACGTAAGGACCCTAAACCCTAAACCCTAAGTCATTGTGCTCCCCACACCTTCAACCGTAAACCTTTAAACCCTAGTGGACACCACCCTAGAACCCTAAACCCCAAACCCTAACTAAACCCTAAACCCTAAACCTTAAACCCTAAGCCTCGAGCCCGAAACACCTTAAACCCGAAACTAAGTGGGGTGAGACGTCTACTCACGATGTTCTTTTCAAGCAAGGTTCCTGGGCCCACCAGCCATAACCCCGACAACTCTCAAATCAAGGGGTATAGGAGGGGACCCCTAGACGGAACCCTTCATCTTATTCCCCTATATAGCCCCTATATAACCTTGATCTATCCCTTCTATCGTCCCTAGATACCTAAGTAGCCCCCAGTAACCCCCAAAGATCCCTTCAGGGTCCTCCTTGAATCCCTTGACTCAACCCTAAACCCTAAACCCTATACCCTAAACCCTAAACCCTAAACCCTAAAACTTCAACGCTAAACCCTGAATCCTAAACCTGAACCCCTTAAGGTCCCCTACAAGGGTCCCTCCTTGAGTCCCTGGATCAATTCGGCACCAAGCCTGCGTCCGCAGGCTGGGCAGTGGTATCCTCACCTCATCAGCTCTTAGGGTTTAGGGTTAATAGTTTATAGGGTTGAGGGTTTAGGGTTAGGGTTTAGGGCTAGGGTTTAGGGTTGAAGTTTTACGGTTCAAGGTTTGGGGTTAAAGTTTTAGGATTAGGGGTTTAGGGACCTTAAACCCTAAACGCTGATCAAGGCCTGCGCAAATCCCCTAAAACCCTTCCCCGAACCACAAGCCCTAAGAACCCTAAACCCTCAAACCCCTGAAAACCCTAAACCCTAACCCCTAAACCCCTAAACCCCTAAACCCCTAAACCCCTAAACCCCTAAACCCCTAAACCCCTAAACCCCTAAACCCCTAAACCCCTAAACCCCTAAACTCCCCCAAACCCCGAAACCCCTACACCCCTAAACCCCTAAACCCCTAAAGCCCTAAACCCCTAAACTCTCAGAGCCCAGTCTGCTGCAGGAGATCTTGTGACGGGTTGTCCCGAGATGTTCTGCTGCCGTTCTGTCACGAGAACAGGGGGGTCTAGAGTCTGGGGTTTGAGACGCCTTTTTGGGGCAAAAGAACCCTAAGACTCAAACACCCAAACTCCCGAAACCTCCCGAAACCCAGGACTGTAAACCCTAAACCCTAAACCCAGAACTTTAAACCCTAAACTGTGAAGCTTCTGGTCTGAGTCTTCAAAACCCCTAGCACCCCGAAAGCCCCGAACCCCTGTAGCACCCCGAAAACGCCGAAGCCCCAGAGCCCACAAACCCTAAATCCCAAGCTAGAAGACCTCACACAAAAACCGGCAAACCCTGACTCCTAAACTCCACAATGGCCTCAAATCGCCTAAACCCTACACCCTAAACCCTAAAACCCTGAAACCCTAAACCCAAACCTTAAACCTCAAACTCCCCCAAAAAGACCTCAATGTTTCATTAAAGTGAGGTGCCGCCTGCCCCAGTGCGCGAAGGCAATGCCGCCTCGAAGGCCTTTTGGCGGAGTTCGCGCTCGGGGCTTCTTTGGGTTTAGGGTTTAGGGCTATTAAGGTTTAGGGTTAAGGGTTAAAGGTTTAGGGTTCAGGGTTCAGGGTTCAGGGTTTAGGGTTTAGGGTTTAGGGTCTACGCTCCCGAATCGAACTCTTGCGATTTCTTGGGGTGGCCAGGCCTCTTTTGCTTTAGGCTTCCGGGCTTCTAGCAGCTGTCTAGGGGTTCTACCTTGGACCCTTAAGGTTGTACCCTTGGGTTTTAGGGTCCTTTGTTAAGGATCCCTAACGGATTATAAGGGCCATATTAGGAGTATATTAAGGGGAACCTTTAGGGGTACAACCTTAGGGCTACGAGTCTTAATCCCTTGAAGCTGTGTCCCGGGTTGCCCCCAGCAACCCTAAACCCTGAACCCTCTTGGTAGCCCAGTAGCCATATCATAATAAGGGCACCCTTTTTGGGGTTGGTTTCCTTATAAGGGAACCCAGAAACAAAAAAGGGTAAAGCGTACTTGGTAGCCCCGAACCCTTTAAGGAATCCTCACCCTCAAACCCTAATTCTAAATCCATTGTTGTTTGATAGGGCTCTTAAGGAATCTTCGCGCTAAGCCCTAGACCATTTTTGCACAATAGGGTTTTTGAGGAGTCCTCACCCCTAAACTCTAAACCCCAAACTTGTTGTTTAATAGGCGTTGTGAGGGACACCTGGCTACTAAAGAAAGGAAAAGCGAACTAACTCCTGAGCTTCCTTTCTCATGGGCTGAAGAGATCACAAGAGCCTTACCCTGAACCCTATACCCTGAACCCTAAATCGAAACCCTTAACCCGAAACCCTAAACCCGAAACCCTTTGCATGTGGGGGTCTCGGGCTTAGGTGTTTGGGGTTTAGGGTTGAGCCTTATCCCTAAACCCTAGCCCTAAACCCTATACCGCCAGACAAAAACCCTAACATAAGAATCTTTAGGGCCTTGGGGGAGGCGTAGTTTAGGGTTTCGGCGTTTGAGGTTGGCTTCTTAGCGGTCCCGCATAAGTGCTGTTTAGGGTGCAGCTGAGACTTCGGGGTTTAGGGTAGGAGGAAATGCAGGAAATGCGACCATGTCCTGACGGAGATGACATTAAAGCATGCACGCGAAAGATCATTGTCTTCCGCAAAGTCGCCAACTCCAGCTGGTACCAAGATTTAGAAGCCGCAGCCAATGAGATACAACACGGAAGCGAGCGTTGAAGAAAACATCCTCGCACACAACCAGGAGCAGGCGGCATTGGAGCAGCGAGTCTGCTCTGTGTTTGGGGGAGGCCCTCATCCTAGCTTGAAGGTCCCGCCAATGGCGTGGGATGAACCCAAAGGCCACCCCAAGTGAGTCTCCAGAAAGACGACCTCACACCTTCAAGCGTCGCAAAAAATCGGATTTGGTCCGGCTTCTGAAAAGCAGATTCCTAACTGCGCGCTCTTCCAACCACTGAACAATTGCTCCATTGCATAGGACGACTCGTTCGGCTTCGGGATTTAGGGGCTTAGGGGTTGGGGGATGAGTGAGGCTTGGGGTTTAGGGGTTGGTGGTTTGTGCTGTGTCCCTCAACGGCCCCCGAAAGCCAAACCACCGAACCTTTCGAAGGCCCGAAGTCTCAGGGTTTATGAACAACCTTAGAGTTTAGGGTTTAGGGTTTAGGGCTTAGGGTTCAGGGTTTAGGGTGCGAAGGGTTGAACGTTCAAGTAGGTCCCATAAACCCTAAGCTCCCCTCCAATCCCTGCACCACAGAAGGCATAAACCCTACAAACCCTAAACCACACAAAACCCAAAAGCCTCAACCACCATCTTCAAAAACATCAACTAACCCTAAACCCTAAACCCTAAACGCTAAACCCTAAACCCTAAAGCCTAAACCCTGAACCCTTCCAAGGCTGGCCACCGGAACCCGGCTGGAGTTCCCGGACCTTGCTTTCAAAACTCTGGGGGTGTAGGGGATTTGGAGCTTAGGGCTTAGGTATAGGGTTTAGGGTTCAGGGTTTCGGGTTTAGCCAGGGTCTAGGGTTTAGGGTTTAGGGAACTCTAAAACCGTAAGCCCTGAACAAGCCACGAAACCCCTGTATGAACTCTCCGCCGCAAAGGCATCCCGCGCTGAGCTTGAAAGCTTCAAGCGCTTGAAGGGAGCCCTAACCCTAAACCCCAAACCCTGCTAAACCCTAAACCCGAAACCCTATACTGGTGGGAACGGGAAGCCCAAACTCCTGACAGCGGAACGAGCGTGAGTTGCAAGACAATGAATGCTGCATACCCGAACTAAACGCTAAAAAAACTCTAAGCCCTATAAACTAGACCCAAGCGTAACCTAGGAATAAAAAGGGTGACGCCCTCTTTGGTTTTAAGGGGGTGATAAGTTAACCTAAACCCTTAAAAAAGGGAATACGGGCCTACTCTAGGTCCTAGACTCTAAACCCTGTAAATCTTCTGAACGCAAAAACCTTTCCAAGCCCTCTACACCCTCTAAACCCCGAAACCCTCACAGGGTTCAGGGTTCAGGGTTCAGGGCTTAGGGGCAGGGTTTAGGTTCAGGGTTCAGGGTTTAGAATCTAGGGTTCAGGGTTTAGGGTCTAGGTTTAGAATTTGGGGTTCAGGGTTAGGGTTTAGGGTTTCGGGTTTACGGCCCAGGGATCGAATCCCAAGTTGAGCGCGAAACCCTAAACTCTAAACCCTAAACCCTAAACTCTAAACCCTAAACCCTGAACCCTAAACGCTAAACCCTAAACCCTAAACCCGCCAAGTTGCACTACCGAGTTCGACACAGACGAAGAATCCTCACCAGCATCCCAAAGATAATGGACCTCCAGGTGTAGTTTTGTAGTTTCGTAGGGTTTGGGGTCTGGGGTTTAGGGTTTAGGGTTTAGGGTTTAGGGTTTAGGGTTTAGGGTTTAGGGAGACAATGGACTTCCAAGTTTAGTTTCTAGGTTGGGGTTCCCCCTCATACTAACAGTCCTTAATCGGGATTACAGTACCCCCTATCATAATCCCTTTTAAGGACTGTTAGTATGAGGAGGAACATCCCGATTCTTAGGGGCTAAGGTTTCAGGTTTAGGGTTTCGGTTTTAGGGCTAGAAAGCCGCAACCCTAAACACAAACATAGGGTGAACGGTTAGGAGGGGTCTCGGGTCTTAGGGTTTCGGTGAGGGTTCTGGATTTGTGGGTTTTAGGGCTTGGGGTTTGAGGATTTTGGTCTTAGGGTAGTTGCATGGTCCATGAAGATGGTATATTGGGGTTTGAGGGGTCCACGGTATCATATTGGGGTTTAGGACTTAGGCTTACTTTGAGTAGAGCCGAGGCGACAAAAACTGAAGCGCGGCCAGACAACAAGTACTAACACATGGGTAGTTCTCTCCTTTTGGAGTCCTTCTTGCAAGGATGCCGTACTATGTATGACCGCGAATCGCAGTTCGCCCGTTTCCCCCCCCACCCCATCCTCAACCCTAAACCCTAAAGCCTAAACCCTCAACCCGCAACCCTCAACCCTAAACCCTGAACTTTTCAAACACCACAGCTGGGGTGGCAGAGCTTGAGGGGGGATCCGGCGCTCTGCTCACGACCCAAACTTGGACAACCACCCCTACTGGGAGGTTCATGGTACTTATTAAAAAAAAAAACATAACTGTACTTAAAGGGTTTAGGGTTTAGGGTTTAGGGTTTAGGAGAACGGTACTTATAGCCCACTTACAAGCCCCTTAAGTGCACTAAGATGGTTATAAGTACAGTTATGAGTACAGTTACAATTGGTTAATAAGTACCATGAACCTCCATGTACCTTGTGTCAGATAAGGAAGGCGCGTGTTGCCCAGATTGTACAGCAAAGTGTGACATAAACGAATGGCATATTGAGGTTGCATTGTTAGAAATTGTTCATAACATTCTCTCTATTCACCACACAAAAAAATGGTACAGCGTTTTTGGTGCCACCTGCACGCACCAAAACATGGCTCTTTTTAAATAAACGGAATGACTGAACAATCATCTGAATTGTCAAACACAATCATACTTAACCTCTTGATCAACCATTTATACTCAAGCCTGAACAACAACCCCCCAAGTGGGGGTGTCAAGTTTAGGGTTTAGGGTTTAGGGTTTAGGGTTTAGGGTTTAGGGTTTAGGGTTTAGGGTCTTGCTACGGGCCATGCCCTGACACTGGCGGCAAAGCTCAAAACTAAAGCTGGCAAGCCAGTTCATCTCATAACCGGTTTCAAGGCAAATTGTCTGAGCGTGTAACATAACCATCGCAATGCCTAAACACTAAGCCCTAAACTCTAAACTCTAGACCCGACACCCAAAAAACGTAGAAAAAGAACTTCGGCCGCCAGTCTCTGTGGCAAAGGGTACTTTGGAGGGTCGTGGTGGCAGACCCTAAACCCTAAAGCCTAAAACCTAAACCCTAAACCTGCAGCCCCCGACCCAACCGAACGCCGCGAAACCCTAAATATCTGACACTCCGAATCCGAATTCACCCTCAGCCCAAAACCTGAAGCCTAGAAGGGCTTAGGTTTAAGGTTTAGGGTTTAGGGGTTAGGGGTTTAGGGTTTAAGGGTTTAGGGTTTAGGGTTTAAGGTTTAGGGTTCAGGGTTTAGGGGTTTAGGGGTTTAGGGGTTGCAGACCTTCATCCGAATCCCCAACGTCCAGGTCTCTTTATGCCTTTGTGCAACACAACAAGCTCGACGGCCCTGGTTTGCTCAGCGCCTTACGCACTTGAACTTGGGATCGTGCTATGTGGACACGAGAACTAAGGACATACAGTGTACCCCTAAACCCTAAACCCTAAACCCTAAACCCTGAACCCTAATCCCTAAACCCTAAACCCTAACCCCTAAACCCTAAACCCTAAACCCCAAGGGAATATCTGGGTTTAGGGTTTGGATTCCCTTCTGGGTCGAAGTGGCATACGGATACATGGATCCTTCGGGCAGACTTCCAAGTCTTGCTGGTAAATCGCCATATATGGGTTTAGGGTTTAGCAAGGAATTTCTAGGTAGAAGGTGAACAAACGGTCGACGGTTCAGGGTTAAGGGTTAAGGGTTTGAGACGCAAGAGTGCCCTCACCTGTAAACCCTAAACCCTAAACCCTACACCCTAAACCCTAAACCCGAAACCCTAAACCCTAAACCCTAAACCCTAAACCCCAGAACAAGCTGTGAACCCCTTCGGCCTTCGTGGAGACAACAGGTTGTGGCGCTGGCCAAATGAGCGGTAGCGAAGAGTGCGACTGCGACTGCGATTGGACCGAAGAGATGTCCTGTCGGGTTTAGGGTTTAGGGTTTAGGGTTTAGGGTTTAGGGTTTAGGGTTTAGGGTTTAGGGTTAAGGTTTAAGGTTTAAGGTTTAGGGTCACTAGAACCCAGAGTAGGCCCTTATTTCCCCCTTTTCTTCGGGTTTAGGCCCCTCATAAAGGGCGCCCTGGTCATTCCGAGGTTCCTATAGAACTACACAAGTGTTTAGGGCTCATGGCAGCGCAGTCATATTGACATAAGGGCACCCTTTCTGGGATTGGTTTCTTGAAAAGGGAACCTTGAAGCAAAAAACAGGAAGGGTACCACTGGGCTGCCAAGCTTATGAGGTTTAGGCTTCAGGGTTTGGGGCCTAGGGATTTCCAGCGGATGGCTGGATGCATGTTTCCTCGGGCCGCGCTGAAAAGGACAGCTCTGCTAGACTCCTCACTCGAATCCGAATGCCTAGGTTCTCGGGCTGCTGAAGTACTGCATGCGCATGGGTTAGGTAGACAGATGGCACGGGGCTTTCCTGAGCACGCCCGGCTCAAGAGGACAAGAGGTGCCAGTGCCAAAACCCAAAACCCAAAACCCAAAACCCAAAACCCAAAACCCAAAACCCAAAACCCAAAACCCAAAACCCAAAACCCAAAACCCAAAACCCAAAACCCAAAACCCAAAACCCAAAACCCAAAACCCAAAACCCAAACCCAAAACCCAAAACCCAAAACCTAACACCCTAAACCCTAAACCCTAAACCCTAAACCCTAAACCCTAAACCCTAAACCTTAAACCCCAAGCCAGCCTAAGCCCCAAGGTCCAAAGCCAAAAAAAAACCCCCAGTCCTCGGAGCTATCTTCAGTGGCCTGGGCGTTTGGTGCGTAGAGTTTAGGGTTTAGGGTTTAGGGTTTAGGGTTTAGGGTTTAGGGTGGGTTTAGGGTGGTTGAGGGTTGAGGGTTGAGGGTTTAGGGTTTAGGGTTGAGGGCATAGGGCTTCGGAGGGCTGTAGGGTTCAGGGTTTAGGGTTTAGGGCTAGGGACGCGAATTTTGAAGAGATTGGAAAGTGTTGAGCCGAGGACACTGGCTAAGTCCGAAGGCGCTCATGGGTGCGCCGGTTTAGGGCTTACTGAGTTAGTTTTAGGGCTTAGGAAGTCTTATGATTCGAGGTTTGGGGTGTACATCCTGCAGCCCTACAGCCCCGAACCCTAAAGCCTCGAGCAGAGAATCCATGACCCACATGGTTTGCATTGCTTCGAGTTCTCTGAATCATAGGGGTCCCTTACCCAGGAGTTGGAGGCTGCGAAGGCTGTGTCCCACCTGGAACGTCGACATGCTTTCGGTATTGTGTTCTGTCTTTTTCTGCTCTTTTAAGGGGATGAAGGGGGGGGGGGTCTCTAAGCTTGGGGTACCAGATTGTAAACTTGTACGGTGGACCCTCTAACCCTTAACCCTCTAACCCTAAACCCTAAACCCCGAACCCTGAACCCTAAACCATAAACCCTAGCCCTAAACCCTAAACCCTAAACCCTAAACCCTAAACCCTAAACCCTAAACCCTAAACCCTAAACCCTAAACCCTAAACCCTAAACCCTAAACCCTAAACCCTAAACCCTAAACCCTAAACCCTAAACCCTAAACCCTAAACCCTAAACCCTAAACCCTAAACCCTAAACCCTAAACCCTACATTAGCCGAAGCAATGGCGGCCTCGTAGTGTTGGAGCTGGCTTTCATCAACCTTGGGTAGCAAGCCACGTGCAAGAAGAGAGGTTCCGGGTTGAGGGTTTAGGGTTAGGGTTTAGGGTTAAGGGTTTGGAGTTTGGGGTGATAAGGGTTCTTGAGGAAGACCCTACAGACGCGAAACCCTAAACCCTAAAACCCTAAAACCCCAAAACACCAAAACCCTAAAACCCTAAAACCCCAAAACCCCAAAACCCCGAAACCCTAAAACCCTAAAACCCTACTAAAACCCTACTAAAACCCTACTAAAACCCTAAAACCCTACTAAAACCCTACTAAACCTAAAACCCTAAAACCCCAAAACCCTAAAACCCTAAAACCCGAAACCACAACCCCCAAGCCCCAAAGCCTCAAGAGCAGCATTTGGAGGCCTTCAGGTTCGCCTGGTCATGGGCAGTTTTGGGGCTTGGGCACGCTTTAGGGTTTAGGGTTTAGGGTTTAGGGTTTAAGGTTTGGGGTTTGGGGTTTGGGGTTGGTTTGAAGGGCCGGTTTGAAGCTGAGGGCTTAGGGTTTAAGGGATTAGGGTCTAGGGCTTACCGTTTCAGGATTCAGGTGTAGGGGTTCGGGACGCCTCGGCTCGCCCTCAACCTCCACCAACAGCGATGGTAAACCCTACCTGCAAAAGGAGTGAGGCAGGTCCGCATCGATTTGAAGGTCCCTCGCGGCACATCATGCAAGCCTCGCCGGCTCGTAGCGCAAACATGCAGGTCAAGGAGAGGAGAACCCTAAACCCTAAACCCTAACCCTAAACCCTAAACCCTAAACCCTAAACCCTAAACCATGCGTGGTCCACACTCTTGCAGGATGTCGAGCATCCATGAGCCCCAATCTTGTTGGAGAGAGCGACCGCTCTCCAACCGTCTTCTTGTGAGGACTTTGCGGGTTTAGGGTTTAGGGTTTAGGGTTTAGGGTTTAGGGTTTAGGGTTTAGGGAGCAGCATGAACCTGGCAGATCTCCGAACACATACATATTGCAGTGCATTGCCAGTGTCGATATTACGCCTAATTGGAGAATAGCTGTATTTATAACCCAAGCATAACCATACTAGGGCACTTAAGGGGCTTTAAAAAGCAGGTTACTGTAAGTACGGCTATAACTCTAAACCCTAAACCCTACACCCTAAACCCTAAACCCTAAACCCTAAACCCTAAACCCTAAACCATGCGTGGTCCACACTCTTGCAGGATGTCGAGCATCCATGAGCCCCAATCTTGTTGGAGAGAGCGACCGCTGTCCAACCTTCTTCTTGTTAGGGACGTTTAGGGTTTAGGGTTTAGGGTTTAGGGTTTAGGGTTTAGGGTGCAGCATGAACCGGCAGAGCCCCGAACACAGACATATTGCAGTTGCCAGTGTCGATATTACGCCTAATTGGAGAATAGCTGTAGTTTAGAACCCAAGCATAACCATACTAGGGCACTTCAGGGGCTTTAAAAGTAGGTTACTATAAAGTACGGCTAGAACCCTAAACCCTAAACCCTAAACCCTAAACACTAAACCCTAAACCTCCAAGCACAACGCCAAAGACTGGGCCACCCGGGCAAGGTGGCGGGTGTTGGCCGCAGACAAAGCCTCACATGACGGAGGGGGAAAAGGGTCTAGGGTTTACGGGGTTTAAGTTGTCTAACCCTAAACCCTAAACCCTAAACCCTAAGCCCTAAGCCCTAAGCCCTAAACCCTAAACCCTAAACCCTGAACCGACCTTATAAATCCTAGGTCCTGAGCCCTACAAGCCTGGAACCCGAAAACCCTAAATCACTGTCTCGGAAGCTGGCACCAGGTGCACAGGCAGGTGTAAAGTTTAAAGTTTAGGGCTAGGGTGTAGGTTTAGGGTTTAGGGTTTAGGGTTTAGGGTTTAGGGTTTAGGGTTTAGGGTTTGGGGTTTGGGGTTTGGGGTTTGGGGTTTAGGGTTTAGTGTTTAGGGTTTAGGGTTTAGGGTGTAGGGGCTCCATACATGCAGGGGGTGGGCCCCCAACCAGCTAGAGGCCTCCTCATGGCTCCCCTGACATTTCCTAAGTTGGGGGGGGGGGGGTTTAGTGTTTAGGGTTTAGGGTTTAGGGTTTAGGAAGAGAAAAACACGATGACTTGGGTTCCTTATACTAACAGTCCTCAATAGGGATTATCGTACCCCCGATTGTAATCCCTATTAAGGACTGTTACTGCAAGGGGAACATCCCAACTGTTGATGCTAGGCAGCCCTGTATAATGCTAAGCCCCAACACCGCAGAACACCCCAGCAAAAACACAAACCGCTAAACCCGAGACCGTAAATCCTAAACCCTAAACCCCAAACCCTAAACCCTAAACCCGAAATTAAATCCTGAACCCTAACCCCTAAACCCCTAAACCCGTAGACCCCTAAACCCCTAAACCCCTAAACCCCTAAACCCCTAAACAGCAAATCCTACGTCACGACTGCGCACCTCCTGGCGTTGTGATCGCTGCGCCTCGGCATTCGGTGGTTCAGGGCTCACCCCCAGAGGTGAAGAGTTGCATGAAGTTTTCAGTGGGGTTTTGGTTAGGGTTTAGGGTTTAGGGTTTAGGGTTTAGGGTTTAGGGTTTAGGGTTTAGGGTTTAGGGTTTAGGGTTCAGGGTTTAGGGTTCAGGGTTTAGGGTTTAGGGTTTGGGGTTTAGGGTTTAGGGGTTGATTCCAGGGCTCATCGGGTGTGTAGAGTTTACAAGGCTTTGGGGTCTATTGGTCGAAGGTTTTCAGTGCTTACGAACCCTCAACCCTAGCCTCTAAACGACTCTAAACCTTAACCAGTACTTGCTTAAGAACCCCCCAAAAAATAGTCTTCCTTATAAGGGTAATCTAGGGATTATTGCCTTTCTATTCTTTGAGGGTTCTCAAGCAAATAGTAGAAGACTGTCATCCGAGCACGCGAAGAACCCTATCCCAAGGCCCAACGGATCAGTGTACCTAGAAGCCCCTGCCTTAAACCACTGACAACTTTAGGACTTGGAGATAGAAGGAGAACGGGGGTTTAGGCTTTAGGGTTTAGGGTTTAGGGATTGGGATTTGGGTTTAGGGTTGTTTAGTCACTAAACCCCAAAGCCTGGAAGAGCCCCAAGAAAACGCACACGCACCGTGCACAGCGCGTCCCAGGTGCGTTTGCAAACCAGCTGGATCTGGTACCGCGCCACCCTCGGAGGTGTTTGTTGTGGTTTGGGAGGTGGCTCTCAAGCCACTGTAAAAAACTAGGGTTTAGGGTTTAGGGTTCGGGGCTTGGGGCTTGGGGCTTGGGGTTTGGGGTTGGCTTGAAACTTAGCACTGAACAATGGACCTGCGCAACCCTAAGCCCATAAGCCGCTTCTGGGAGGATCTCTGGCCTTTGTCTGAGTTTAGGGCTTAGGGTTTAGGATTTAGGGTTTAGGGTTCAGGGTTACCTTAAACCTTTTGTGTTGGGACATTTGTGATGATGTTCCCTTGGGTGTTACACAAGCAAGAATGAAGCATGACTTCTAAGCAAACTATGGAATTTCCCACAGTGGAGCCCTACGCCTTCAAAACCGGAGAACAAAAGCTTCTCACCCTTGCCACCCTATACTAGACCCAGGAGTAACCTACAAGAAAAAGAGTACCCGTTTTGGTTTATAGGAGCTTCTCTAAGGGGTCTAACAAATGGAATAAGGGCCTACTCTGGGTCCTAGTATATCCCTATGCCACACAAGACGCCGTGAGCCCCAGAAGCCCCCCCAATCTAGCCTCATTCGCATCTAACCCTAAACCCTAAACCTGAAACCCGAAACCCTAAACCCTAAACCCTAAACCCTGAACCCTAAACCCTAAACCCTAAACCCTAAACCCTAAACCCTAAACCCTAAACCCTAAACATTGGGATGCTCCCCCTGATACTAAGAGTCCTTAATCGGGATTGCAATAGGGGGAGTAACATCTAACCCTAAACCCTAAACCCTAAACCCTAAACCCTAAACCTTGGCATGCTCTCCCTTATACTAAGAGCCCCGAGCAGGGATTACAATAGGGGGGTACGATAATCCCTATTCAGGGCTGCTTAGTATAAGGAGGAGTATCACAACCCCAAACCCCAAAGCCGGGTTCTTAAGCAAATAGTAGAACCCTGAACCCATCTTATCGCCCAAGAGGCCCTGGAACCCTTGAACCCCATAAACTCTGAAAGCCCGAACTGACCTACATACCCGACTATTCACCATACACCCTAGAAGCACTGCTTATGAACTGTCTTGGGGGATTTTGGACCCGAATCCCTAAACCCCAAACCCAAACCCTAAGCCCTAAATCCAAAAACCCTAAACCCCAAACCCGACATCCTAAACCCCCAAACCCTAAACAAAGCCCAGACACTGCCCGGGGCTGAACCTGCGACCTGATCATCTGAGCTTTGCCTGGGTGAAGGGCGTGGGCGGCTTTTGAGGGTTTGGGGTTTTGGGTTTCGAGTTTAGGGATGTCTAGGGTGCAGGGCTTAGGGTTGAATAGGGTTTAGGGCTTCGTGCTTTTTTGGGGTGGAATTGAGGTGTTTGAGTTTGGGGTTTAATGATGGTTTTTTTGGGTGGAATCGAGGTGTTTGAGTTCAGGGTGTTTAATGGTTTTTTGGGCGGAATTGAGGTGTTTAAGTTTAGGTTTCATGTTGTTTTGTAAATGGTTGAGGTGTTGAAGTGTTGGGCTTAATGGTTTTGTTGGGTGGAATGGAGTTTAAGTTTAGGGTTTAGGGCTGAGGCTTTTTTGGGGCTTGGGTTGAACGCTCTGGAATGGGGAATTAGGCACCTTGTATACCCCTATATACCCTTTACGGGATTATGTAGAGCACCTACGAAGAGCCAGTAGGTAAAGCCTTAGTGTATCGCAGTTTTCTAGGGGGATTGAGGTGTTCAGGGTTGAGCTTCTCTGCAGGGCTTGCGCTGGTAAAAGGGGTGTCCTTTTTGGTTTAAAGGGGCCGATAAGGGAACCTAAAACCCTGAAAAAGGGTAATAAGGGTTTAGGGTTTAGGGTTTAGGGCTTAGGGGAGTTGGAAGGTGCTTGGGGATGTTTGGGGTTTGGGGGGGGGGTTAAGGTTGCGGTTTGGGTTTAGGGCTTCCGGGTTTAGAGGGTTGAGGTGTGTGTGTCCTTGTGTACGTGTGATTTGTTGGGCGGAGCAAGGGGGGGGGGTAATTTGAGTTTCGGGCTTTGGGGTTTGGAGTTTTCGGGTTTAGGGTTTCGGGTGTGGTGTGCCGTGCTTGGTTTCAAAGCCATTCTGTGTAGCTTGAATGCTTGACAACCCTAAACTCTAAACCCTAAACCCTCAACCCTAAACCCGAATGAGGAAAACAAGCAAGCACTGGCAGCTTGCGCGGCTGAAAAACCCAAAACCCCTAACCCCTAACCCCTAAACCCTAAACCCTAAACCCTAAACCTGGGTCGGACGAGGAGGGGGGTGGGGGGAGGCTGCGCCTGACGGGCTTGGAAAGGAATGCTCTTCATGGCATGGTCTAGCACCCTAAACCCCAAACCCCAAACCCCAAACCCTAAACCCTAAACCCTAAACCCTAAACCCTAAACCTGGGTGTCGCTTCCAGCGTTACAAGACAGGCCGGCCGTTCTAAAGTCCTGACTTCTCTCAGGTCAGGTTTCCTCCCACCCGAAAGTCTGAAACCTAAAACCCTTACCCCTGGTAGAGAAGTCTCAGACCCTAAGCCCTAGCCCTAAACCCTAAACCCTAATTCCTAAACCCTAAACCCTAAGCCCTAAACCCTAAAACCCTAAAACCCAAAACCCAAACCCTAAACCCTAAACCCTAGCCCTAAACCCTAAACCCGAAACCCTAAACCCCTACTTTAAATTCTCCCCTCCTGGAGCTTTGGCTTGACGGCCCTTTATAGGGTTTAGAGTTGCAGGGGGTTTGTGTTCTGAGCTCTCCCAGACCTATCGCCACACACCCGAAATCCTAAACCCTCTGTCTAGGGTTTAGGGTTTAGGGTTTAGGGTTTAGGGCTTAGGGTTTCGGGTTTAGGGTTTAGGGTCTAGGGTCTAGGGTCTAGGGTTTAGGGCTTAGGGCTCTGTTGCAGCTTGTGTGGCGGAAACATGTGCTCATAAGCGGTCGTCCTCCCGGACCTTCCAAAGGTATGTCATGGGTTGGCCATTTGCGCTTGGGTTCAGGGTTTAGGGTTTAGGGTTTGGGGTTTAGGGTTTAAGGTTTAGGGTTTAGGGTTTAGGGTTTAGGCTTCGGTGATTTGGGGGCTTAGGGCTTCGAATTAGATACTGGCTCTGCCATATGCAGGCTGCCCACCACTGCAACTGCAGAACCAGGTGCGACCAAACAAAGATGGCAAGCGTTGCGATCGCTCTCAGCAACTTGCTTTCGGGAGGCATGGCACCCCTAGACCGCCCCTCCCCCAACCCCAGAAGCCCTAAAACCCCTCAACCCGAAAGCCGACACCCCTCCACCCAAACCCGCTAAGTATCTGCCAACCCTAAACCCTAAACCCTAAAAACCCTAAAAACCCCATAAACCCTATAAACCCTATAAACCCTATAAACCCTATAAACCCTATAAACCCTATAAACCCTATAAACCCTATAAACCCTATAAACCCTATAAACCCGATAAACCCTATAAACCCTATAAACCCTATAAACCCTATAAACCCTATAAACCCTATAAACCCTATAAACCCTATAAACCCTATAAACCCTATAAACCTAAACCCTAAACCCTAAACCCAAAACCCTAAACCCTAAACCCTAGCCCTGCCTAAGGTCTAGAGACACGGCCATGGCAAGGCCCGTGGCTTTGAAAATAACTCAAAATTGCGCCGTGGCCCAGTGTGCACTTGAAGCTACGAAGCCTCAACCCTAAACCCTAAACCCTAAACCCTAAATCCTAAGCCCTAAACCCTAAACCCTAAACCCTGCTACGCTCTGAGTGCTGGCACGACTATGTGAAATGGACCACTGCGCAGCAAGGGCGGCAACAATCGCTGTGACACGCCTAGCCTACATGCAAGGTATCTTAAACCCTAAACCCTAAACCCTAAACTCTAAGCCCTAATTTCCAAAAGGAGCCCTTTTAGAAACGGACACAAGAGACCCTGAGAGCTAACACAACCCCTTCCCATATCAGCGTACATCCAAGACTAGAGGAAGGTGAGGAAGTTGAAGCCAATCAGCGTTCTTCGTGGAACTCACCTACTGCAATGAGCCGAAAGCGTCAGCGGCTGCTCTGCTAGGGGGCTTAGGGATTACAGGGGTACAGGGTGTAGGGTTTAGTAGGGTTTAGTAGGGTTTAGTAGGGTTTAGGGTTTAGGGTTTAGGGTTTAGGGGCGAATGCATTGATCCTACCCTGTTACAATTCCCCAACAAATTATCCCCCTCTAATGCATAGTGGACTAGTTCTCTAAATTCAGGTCCCCTTGTGGGTTCTGTCTACAGTACGGCACCCTTAAAGCAAGGACCCAAGAGAGACCCCAAGTTCGAGAATACTACTTCCATACAGCCCAAGATTTGGAATCTTCCAGCTTCGGGGATCAGCCTGAACTCTTACTTATTTAGTTGCAGGGTTTAGGGTTTAGGGTATTCTTGTGGTGAGGGAAGAGTGGAGGCTCTGGGATAAACCCTTTAACGACCAGATGTGCACACATACATACGTATGTATATATATATACATATATATATGTATATGTATATATATATAAATACACAGCAACAGAAAGTAATTATCAGCATCTTACCATCGTGGCTTTCGCCATGGCATGCATATGGTTTCCGCCGGCACATATGAAACTGGCTTGCCTATGCCCACAGATAAAGCGCAACATTTCGATTGTCAAATCTCTACGTGAGTAGGTCGGTAAGCAGCGACACAGACAAACCTTCTGCATGACACTCCTGTCGCTGTCTTATCTTAAGCCCCTGTCTGAAGGGCCCTGTCAAAGCACCCCCCCGAAGCCTAAACAAAGACATAAACCCCAAACTTGGGCCCCAAATCCTGAGACCGACAGGCTTAGGGTTTAGAGTTCAGGGCCTAAGGCCTTGGAAACCCCGAACCTCTCAATGGCTTAACTTAAGTTGCCGCGATGTTCCGAAGAAAGCAAGAAGCCTAAACCCCGTGTGGGGTTTCGGGTGTAGGGTTTAGGTTTAGGGACTAAATGGTTTAGGGTTTAGGGTTTAGGGTCCCTGCGCCTCTGATCCAACCCCCTCCTCAGCCCTGACAACCTAAACGGCTCGAGCACCTAGGCAAGGTTTCCCGAGGGAGGACAGGCGCAACTTTGTATGATCGCTTGTCACAGGGGCGACAATTTTCTTGGGACCTTAACAAAATAATGTTGCTTAGTTTCTCCTTGGGCTGTGCTTCTCAAGCCGAGGCGTTCGGCTTCTAGATCATTCAATTGGTTATTTGTGAACCCTGAGCCCCCTGTTTAGAGTTTAGAGGGCGGGAACTTCGAGCTTAAGGTGTGCAATGAGTGCGACTCTCGCAAAAAAAACACCCTGTAGCTCAAGGCTTGGGAGGAGCAATTTCTGTGGGCATTGCTACAAAGGGCCGCAAACCAGAATCCCTAAGCCCTAAGCCCTGAACCCTATACAGGCCCCTTTCGGCAAAGAATGGGCCGTGCCTCAGGGCCGACATTGCAAGGCTGGATAGCGGCAGCAAACGCTTGTTTTCTATCTGGTGCCAAGTAGGGAATTCGGGAATTTGGTACCTTATCTCCCAGACAGGGCCACAGGTTTAGGGTTTAGGGTTTAGGGTTTAGGGTTTAGGGTTTAGGGTTTAGGGTTTAGGGGAATGCAAGGTACTGGAGCCCCTATTGAGACTAATTGTTGGGCTTGGCCTGGACTCTACCCTACTCATGTGGGCTGAATGTGATGAGACAGGGAAGCAGTCCGGTGGTTCGAGTAGTGGGACCCGACACATGCTTCTTTCTTGGGCTTAAGGTTCGAGGTTGTGAAATCCTGCCCCTAAGTTGAAGCTCTTAACCCGGACCTGCGCCTGATAATGTCCGCCAAACTGGCAAGCAGCGTGCTCCAGGCAGCTGCAAAAAATCCTCTCTAAATTAGGGTCCCTTTTGGGGTCCTTACTATCAGGCGGCCCCTCTTCATTAAGGTACCCGAAAAGGGACCATAAGTTAGAGAACTGACCACATGGAAGTTGGTGGGTGTGTCCGGCGCGGCACTATGCAAAGGACACGCTATCTCGAGTGCAGCAGGCCCTAAACCCTAAACCCTAAACCCTAAACCCTAAACCCTAAACCCTAAACCCTAAACCCTAAACCCTAAACCCTAAACCCTAAACCGTGCTATCTCGAGTGCAGCAGGCTCTGAGTGAGAAGTTGTCGATCGCAGCGCAGAAAATGAGCGTCACGGTTGTAGCGTTTCGTGATTCTTCAGTTCACATCCGAGCCCGTGGGGGAAATTAATTAGCGTTTAGCGTTTTGGGTTTAGGATTTGGGGTTTACATTCAGATGTTCGGTGTGGCAGTCTCTAATCCCCCACATGATCACCGTTCCGGCCAATAGTTTTTTGGTAGGGTGGGGGGGGGGGGGGGGGGGGCGGGCGGGGGGGGGGGGGCGGGGGGGGGGGGGGGGGGGGGGGGGGGGGGGGGGGCGCGGGGGGGGGGGGGGGGGGGGGGGGGGGGGGGGGGGGGGGGGGGGGTAAAAAAACATGATGATGATGATGATGATGATGATGACGATAAACGATGACGATCATCATCAGCAGCAGCAGCAGCAGCCGGAGGAGGAGGAGCAGTCGCATAACAAGTCTGCATTAGACAGATGCTGGATGTCCCAACCCAAGTAGCAAGCAAAAAGCGTTGAGCCGAGCCTTTCAAATTACTGTTACGGGTTTTGGATCTGCGCTCAGTGATCAGCGTCGACAAAAACCCTAAACCCTAAACCCTAAACCCTAAACCCTAAACCCGAAACCCGAAACCCTAAACCCTAAACCCTAAACCCTAAACCCTAAACCCTAAACCCTAAACCCTAACCAAACGAACCCTGAAGTCGGGACCATATACCCGAGACTACAACAATGACTAATAAGGTAAAAGAACCCTAAACCCTAAACCCTAAACCCTATAAACCCTAAACCCTAAACCCTAAACCCTAAACCGGGTTCATTTGGTTCTCAAGGTGCTTGGGGTTCTCCTGTACCCCCGAATCAAGGGAGTGCTACTCGGACCCGTCAGGACGCACCCCGAAGAGGTTCGCCTAATATGCGCCCAACATGGCCCTCATCAGGGTTTAGGGTTTAGGGTTAGAGGGTCTTCTAAACAGGGTCCCACCTTAGGGGGTCCAAGCTAGTGAAAGAGATCCGGAGGCACAAATGGAACCAACTAAACCCATCGTGCTTTTGCCTTGTGTCGATCGAGGCAGGGTCTGGCCCTTTGTTTCGTCCACTGTGCTTCCTCTTCGCCTTCTGTAGCGCCGGCCGTTGGCTCCGCAACCCTCCCTAAGACCTAAGGCCTAAGACCCTTAGACCTGAAACCGCCAAAGCCCCCCTAAACTTCTCCTAAACCCCTAAACCCTAAAACCCTAAACCCTAAACCCAAATGCCTTACCTTAGCCCGCCATCACGAAACCTTAAAGTCGCTGAGTCGCTGAACTGTAAACATGCAAAACTGGCACTCAACTCCCTAGCCTGGCACTCCTTCTGTGTTGGGGTTTAGGGTTTAGGGTTTAGGGTTTAGGGTTTAGGGTTTAGGGTTTAGGGTTTAGGGTTTAGGGTTTAGCGTTTAGGGTTTAGGGTTTAGGGTTTAGGGTTTAGGGTTTAGGGTTGGGGGAATCTGAATCATGGCTCTGTGTGGTTCGGGCTGCTTAGGGTGCAGGGGTTCTTCCTAAACAGAACTCGAGATCCCTTTAATAGGCTTTCGTGATTCATATAGGTGCCCAAGCAAGGGACCCGAAACTTAGGGAACGCACTATGCCATGGGAACTGTAGGTCAAACAAACTCTGGGATTTGTCCGGAAAGGAATCTACCCAGAAAGCCCTGTAAGCTAAGTTACACCCAGAAAAAACCTTTGAAGCAGGGGTGTTTCCTAATCATTCAAGCCGTTTCCCACATCAAAGGGTCAGTCCTTAAACCCTAAACCCTGAACCCCAAACTACAATTCAACCATGAACTCTAAACCCTAAACCCTAATCCCAAAACCCGAATCTCTAAACCCTAATAATCCCTAAACCCTAAACCCCAAACCCTAAACCCTAAACCCTAAACCCTAAACCCTAAACCCTAAACCCTTAGGGCTTCATTCTGCAAGGGGTGTGGCCCGGCCGCGCGAGAGGAGGTGGTGAACCAGGCACACGGTGATGTCACACCCAGCGTGCTCAAATCGGGTTTGGCATTTAGGGTTTGGGGTTTAGGGTTTAGGGTTTGGGGTTTAGGGTTTGGGGTTTAGGGTTTAGGGTTTGGGGTTCAGCTCCTCCTAGCACTGGCCCTCTCTAAACAGAAGCAAGCACTCCCCAGAACTCCTAGAGGGTTTAGGGTTTAGGGTTTAGGGTTTAGGGTTTAGGGTTTAGGGTTTGTACCCCCCCTTAGAACCTTAATGTAAAGAAGTTCTTTAAAATATTCACTTGGGTTTTGACATACAAACAAGTGAAATAATAATTCCTAAGGGGTCTATAGTTTGGTGTTCCTTAAGCAGATCCTCGCCCAACCCTAAACCCTAAACCCTAAACCCTAAACCCTAAACCCTAAACCCTAAACCCTAAACCCTAAACCCTAAACCTTAAACCCTAAACCCTAAACCCTAAACCCTAAACCCTAAACCCTAAACCCTACGCGCGCTTCTAGTCCTCCTCAGCGACCTCGAAGTCGAGCTCGGGGGAACCGGATGTTGGCTTGCCGACGGTGCTGAAGATCAAATTCTCTGCGCGAAGCTCATCGGGTATCCTGAGCTCTAAACCCTAAACCCTAAACCCTAAACCCTAAACCCCAAACCCCAAACCCCAAACCCCAATACCAAACCAAGAATTTCAAGAAGGACTAAGAAGGTCTCCCGATCTTGAATGGGGCAGCTTTACAAGGAACCTACAGTAGGACGCCCAAAACGGGAAACAGGGCTGACTGGGAGATCTAGTATCACAAGGTTGTCGCTGCTTGCAGAAGGGTCCACTCCGATTTCGATGGCTGGAGTTCTGCTGGCGTCCGTGGTGATCATGAAGGAATTGACCGTGCCCGGGTTGTCCTGGAAAACTTGTTCGGACCACTTCTCACGAAGCTCATTCAGCCTCAGTGCCAACGCCGGAAAATTTACTTGTGATTGTTGCTGGCTCTTTGCTTGACTACGCGCGAAGGCAGGACTGTCATCAGAGATAGCGGGGCTATAATGAACAAACGATGCTTGCTTGCTTGCTTGCGCATATGTGCGGGTGGGTGGGTGGGTGGGTGGGTGGGTGGGTCGGTGCATGGATGGGTGGGTCGGTGGGTGGGTGGGTGGGTGGGTGGGGGGGCGGGGGGAGTTGCGAGGGTGCGTGAAGACCCCCTTTCCAAGTAGGTATCCGTAAATAGCTTTGCCGATGGTTTAGGCTCTTATCGTTTTTTTATCGAGCATTTGGATACTGTTCTGAACGTAATCGTCGCATTCTACTTTTATCGTTTTGCTGACCAAAATGCACATTTGGGGTTTACGAAAATAAGGGACCTCTAATATAGACCCCAAATAATGGGATAAGGACCCAAAAAAGGTACCCCTAATTTCGGAACCACCCCCCAGTTGATCAGCTTCGCACGTTCATGTGTGCTTCTCTCCACTCCCCGGCATCGCTCTTGGGTTTGTGTCATCCTTCTTGTCGGCAAGTACCCTTTAACGTCAAACGAAGCTTCAAGGGTTTTTTCCCGATGAAACGCTTAAGGCCACTGGCATGGCTTGTGGTGCATCTCTGTGTGTGTGTGTGATATGTAGGGTATCTAGAGTATTCAGGGCATTCAGGGGATTTAGGGCGTTGCACAGGGAAGAGCACCTAAACAACCGAGTCCTTCTCCGGACCGCACCCGGGTGGAGTGGGCCTAAACCCTAAACCCGAAACCCTAAACCCTAAACCCTAAACCCGAAACCCGAAACCCTAAACCCTAAACCCTGAACTCGGGTTGGGGGGGGGGGGGGGGGTTAAGATCAGATTTGGCCGAGGAGCTGCATCATCTTCTTCCTTGGTTTTTGTGCAAGAAAACCCAATCAACGCAGCCCTAAACCCTAAACCCTAAAACCTAAACCCTAAACCCTAAACCCCAAACCCTAAGCCCCCTGTTTGGGAGGTTCCTACTATAAGGAGTATGAGTATCCGTATTTTGGAGTCTATTGGGGGTGCTTACATTTGCGGGTGGCGGAGCCCTGGTCCAACAACATGAAACTGGATTCTTCAGGCTGCAGCGATCCCTTGTGTGGTTTAGGGTTTCGGGTTCAACCCTAAACCCTAAACCCTAGACCCTAGACCCTAAACCCTAAACCCGATCGGGAAAACTGAGCCGAAGAGCCGAAGTCTTTGACCCTAAACCCTGCCTAGCTTCATGATGTCGTCCATGCCGGCGGGTGCCCCACCACTCCTTGGTTGCCCAGTAACCATATTACAACAAGGGTGCCCTTCCTGGAAATAATTGGTTGAATATCAAGGAGCCTAGAACGAAACAGACGGGGACAAAAGGGTACCACTGGGCTAGCCCTAAACCCTAAACCCTAAACCCCAAACCCCAAACCCTAAACCCTAAACCCTAAACCCTAAACCCTAAATCCTAAACCACAGGGCGACCAAGACTCTCCGCCATGACCTTGGCCTTCTCCTCGTCCATGACGCCTTCCTCGGAGTCTCTCCAGAAGCTGAAGGGGCTTCGCTGCAAGGAATCCGCCTCGGACGCCCTGGCACCCTGGCACCCTGACACCCGACACCCTGACACCCTGACACCCTGACACCCTGACACCCTAAACCCTAAACCCTAAACCCTAAACCCTAAACCCTAAACCCTAAACCCTAACCCCTAAACCCTAAACCCTAAACCCTAAACCCTACACATGGTTTCTGATCCCAAAAGCTAAGAGTATCTTTTCCGCGGAACTTTCCTCTGCTTTACTTACACGAGCTTGCCTGGAGCCACGACTGCGAAATGGGTTTAGGGTGTTCGGGCTTAGGGTTTGGGTCTTGGCGGGTTAAGGGTTTAGGGTTTAGGGTTTGGGGTTTAGGTTTGGGGTCTAGGGTTTAGAGGTTAGGGTTTTGGGGGTTTTGGGGGTTTAGGGTTTGGGTTTAGGGCTTGGGTCTTAGGGGGTTTGGGGTTAGGGTTTAGGGTTTAGGGGTTGGGGTTTGGCGATAAGGGTTAGGGGTTTGAAGTTTCAGATTGAAAGTTAAGTTGAGGCTTGGGGCTTTGTGGGTGGAGAACAAGATACCAGGAGGAAAACTGGCCATCAACCCAAAACCCCTTCCAATGTACCCCAATAGAGGGTTTACGGTTTAGGGTTTAGGGCCGTTTAGGATTAGGTTTTAGGGCCGTTTAGAGTATGTCCCTCAAAGCCCTGTAAGGTTGACTGTTTACGAGAGAGGGAGACGACGGTGGGTTGAACATGGGGTACAGTAGGAAAGCCCCTGAGCAAGTTCAAAAAGTGTTCAAGAGAACTTGGATGTCTTGGGGTTAAGGCCAAGCAGTCCGATGCTAGATTTCCAGCTGAGCCATCCGTAAGGGTTTAGGGTTTTGGGGTCAAACCCTGAACCCTAAACCCTAAACCCGAAATCCCGAGATCCGTCGAGTCCTTCGCGGAGGGGCCCGAAACTACTCCATGCTCAACCCGCAAGGGTGCGTTTGGCTCAAAAGAGTATCTTAGTTGTCCAGTAACCTGTGGGAATTAAAGGTTAACCTTCGAGACTATAAGGGGATTCTATTACCCCAAAAAGGTTAAAGCTTACCTTCTCTACTACTAGGGTATGGGGTTCGTTTAGGTCTTACGGTTTAGGGATCTCCCCGAAGCCTCAAATCGAGAACCTCAGTCGTCGCCCCCTCACCCATCCCAGCCCCAAATAAACCCTAGACCCTAGCCCTGAAGCCTAAACTCCAAGCCCCATACCGTACTTGGAGGATCGGGGCACTTAGTAAGTAGGGATATAAGTACCTTAATTGGGATTGTTAGTTAGTGTAGGTATAGTTACCTTACTTACAACCCTAAACCCTAAACCCTAAACCCTAGACCCTAAACCCGAAACCCTAAACCCTTTAAGTAAGCCCAAACCCTTTAAGCAAGCCCCCTTTTCAACACGAACGGAGCGTCGGCTAAGAAACCTCGTCTCATTCGAAGATCGCGCGATCCAGCAAGGCCTCATGCCAAAAGGCTCACAAGATGTCGTCTACTCTTCCCTTAGGGTTTAGGGTTTAGGGTTTAGGGTTTAGCTTAGGGTTTAGGATTTAGGGTTTAGGGTTTGGGTTTCCCTACTACCCCCCTCTATACTACCCCCCCCCCCCCCCCAAGGTTGCCCCCTGTAAATTCATGGCTTAAGTATCCCCAAATAGCCTCAACTAGGGGGTGGAACCTAGGCTTAGTAATCTGAATAATCGCCTTTAATACTAGGGGGGGCGGTAGTATGGAGGGGGGTAGTAGGGGAACCCATGAAGTAACCTACGAACAAAAGGGGGGGTGCCCTTTTTTGTTTTTAAGGGGATGAGAAGGCAACCTAAACCCTTAAAAAGGGAATAAGGGCCTACTCTAGGTCCCAGTCTCCCCTTAGACGACAATGAACACATCGTTTTTACAGATTGCCGTGGGTTTTATACAAACGAAATACAACATACTGCCTAAGGAAAATGTAGTTGTGAGGTCTTGGCTTTGAATTTGGTTTTGGGGTCTACAGGGCTTTGGGCCTAGGGGTTTATAGGACCCTAAACAGGTTTGGGTTTAGGGTTTAGGGTTTAGGGGTTTAAGAGTTAAGCTTCAGAGGTTTCAGGTTCGGGTTTAGGGTTTAAGGTTTAGGGGTCTGGGTGAACCCTAAACTCAAACCCTCGGAACATTTCAACCTCAAACCTAAACCCTACACCTTAAATTTAAACCATAAACTTCTAGACCCTGAACCCGAAACGCTGAAGCCTAAGCCCTAGGCCTCTAAGCCTCTAAACCTCTAAAACTTTCAGCCCCTAACCTCTAACCCTAAACCCAAACTCCAAACCCTAAACCTCAAACCCAAAACTCCAAACCCTAAACCCTAAACAGCAGCAAGCGACTGCAGGGGACTCTTCGTTCGCCAGCTTCTCTGCAAGCGCCCTCACGGCCTCGCAGCATAGGTTTAGGGTCTAGGGTCTGGTCTCTAGGGTTTAGGGTTTGGGGTCGAGGGTCTAGGGTTTGGGGCCGTTTAGGTTTAAGTTCTTAGTAGTACAGGGTGGAGGGATTAGGATTCAGTTGACAAGGGGGTTCTGCTCCAGGGCCTTGGGATTATTATCTTGTTCTGAGTAGGCGATGAGGGAATGAAGTACAAGACAAGATTTTCCTCATTGCCTACTAAGAACCCTCAATGCTAAAGGGTTTCGGGGTCGAGTCCCAACCTTGAACTCGATACATCTTGAATTCGGACCGCTGAACCCCAAGCCGTTTAACTAGGGCTTAGGGTTTGGGGTTTTGGGGCTAGGGTTCAAAGTTTCACTGGGCACTTCTTCAAGGCCTTACAGCGGGGTTTAGGGCTCACAGCGCAGAAAGTGCTTCTAATTTAAGGCTGCAGCATGTGAGCAGTTCTCTGAATTGGGGTCCCTGTTTGGGTCACATGGTATATCCCTGACCCTAAACCCTAAACCTTAAACCCTGAACCCCTGCACCCTAAGCACACTTAAATAGAAGGCCCCCCAAAAGGGACCCTGTTTTAGAGAGCTGCCCATGTACTAGTAGAGGCCCGAAGGTGTCAGGGGGGCCGAGGGCCGACACCCCGCGCCAGCGGACAAAGGGTTTGGGGTTCAAGGTTTAGGGCTTAGGGTTTAGGATTTGGGTGGAACCTAGACCTACACTCGACACCCCCTTATTGTGTAGGGTCTAGGGCTTAGGGTTCAGGGTTGAAGGCCGTGTACCTAAACTACACCCAGGAGTAACCTAGGAATAAACAGGGTGCCCTTTTGGCTTTAAGGCGATTACAAGTGAACCCGCCCTGAGAAAAGGAAACAAGGGCCTACTCCGAGTCCTAGCCCTAAACCCTAAACCCTAAACCC